GATGAACGTGCCTGCGAGAGCGAGTGTGAGGGATTTGCGTAACGTTTTATTTTCGCCCGATTTTACACAACACGGAATGGGGTCCACTGATTGCCAAAACTGAGAGCACGCTAGTTGGTCTTGTTAGGTCGGATGGCGAGGAGGCGGGATGGCGAGGTGGAGACGAGGGCGAGTGACATCGAAGTGCGCGTGCGAAGAGCGAGAGTGAGTGAGTCTCTGGAGTGGGGTTCAAGCAGATAGAGATTGAGTGAGGCGACAAGGGGGATGGAAGGGGCGCAATATTTGTGTTGCATTGAGTTGTTGTGCTCTGGAATGTTGTGCGTAAATGTTACTGGTATGTGATGTGTGTGTGTGTGAATGACTTGATGCGGTCGAATGTAAGGCGGTAGGAGCGAGCGCCTCAGCTGGATCCGTCTTGCAGGGAAGGACAGCGACATAGAGCAGTAAAAAAATAAGGAAAGTAGTTGATTCTTCTTAGTTTGTCGTGTGTTGGAGTATTGGATGTTAATACCACCCAGGGAGAGGAGACTTGTGTGATCTGAAAAGAAAAGAGGAGGCATGGAAACCGTGTTCTGTGCTGGGGTCTGTAACAACAATGTTCATTGTTGTGTGTTTGGATTCTATACAAAATGTGTGCGTAGCAGGTGGATTGTTGAAAGTACAGTGGTAGGGGGGGGGTGGATAATAGGTGGGTGAACAGGGGGTACAGTAGAGAAGGCAGAGAGTAAATGAGTAAACATTGATCAATTTTAAAAGACACATTGAGGTTGATCGATACCATTTAATACCTTCATGAATGAATTATTTGCCTGTTCATTCGATTAAACTTGATTGGATAAATAGATAATATGGCTCCTTGTAATCACAAATGAGTGTATGAATTGAGTGGTGTTGAGTTGTATTGTGTTACGCGACTTCCCTTTCAAGCTTGAAATTGAGCCGGAAGATCGGGGGACAAATAACACCATGTTCTTGGTCAGCATCGTTCCCCTGTCCTTCCCGGGTGTTAGTTTACCACCACTATTAGCGCTTTTCTAAAGTTAATCAGCCAACAAACACAAGAACATTCAGTGAAAAGGGACGGAGTACCCCACCGTGATACCAATTCGATTATGCTTCAGAAATGTCAATGTTTCCTTGAAGTCGGTGTTTTCTTTGCATCGTCTACAAGGGCACAGTACTCACAGATCAGCACTTGCTTACAAATGAAACCTCGTACGCTTCCAACCAGAGTTGATTAAATTATGTAGAGAGCTTCCTTTCAACGTACATCTCCAGGCAGAGCTGCCATATTCCTCACTGCATGCAGGTAGTTACTCGTATTTCAGGAAATATTGCCTCTATATTGAGAAAAAATATGCAAACGAAGCCATCTCAGGTCAATCAAAGTCAGGAATCCGCAACAAACACGGAAGAAATCATGAAAGGGCAATTACATCGATTAGCGCAAGTGGTCTATGCTTCAGGGAATGTCAGTGTTTCGTTGAATGGGTGGGTTGTGCGTGGCGGGGTGCGACTTCTAAGAGGCACGGCTACTCAAGATCCTTGCTTTGTTACATAGTCGTAAGCCGTCGTGTCGTCTTTCAACCAGAGTGATGTAGCCATTGTATGTAGAGGGCTTGGCCTTTTAACATACATCTCCGGCCAGGAAGCTCCCCACGTTTGGGGGGGGGGTGGTGTTGTAGTAGATAGTTGGTTTCTCCGGATAGTTTTTCCTGTGTACGCATGTGGGGTCTAGGACAGGAGCGGTGCTGCGTATGGTCATACGTGATTATTTGCGTGTACGAAACTGTGAATGGTCCACTGAGGAACAAATGGTGGAACATTTGTGGATCATTGGGCGTATATAAATAAACATGATTGATTGAATTGATGTTCCTCCCACAGGTAGTTATCTATTCAGGGGAATATTGCCTGCGGGGGGGGAGAGAGAGAAAATGGTCAGGAACCAGAGACTAAAAAAGCAATGCAAACAGGGAGAGTGAGCGAGCATTTCATAGGAAACTTAGAGCGAGCAGGTGAGAGAGAGAGTTAGTGTAGGAACGAGAGAGTGGAAGTAGTGTGCGGGGGAGAGGAATGTGAAAAGGGAGTAAGTAAGGTGGGTCGTTTAATACTATCAAGCATGGAATTAAGTCAACAAGGACTGTGCAAAAAGATCACATCACAATTGGGCGTCCTCCTTAAAGAGGACGGATAGTTAGGTGCAAATGTTCATGTCCATATTCGTTTTTGTTGCGCTCTACGTGACATGATTCCATGCTTTAATGTTAACATATCTGGGTTTTTTAATTTTTCACTAATAACCTCGCTTCGCGTAGCTGACAACCAGAAAAGCATTCAGCTGTAAACGACTAATGCTGGCATTTTGTACCCATCAAAGCTTTAAATCTAAGGAGAAAAACCAAGGCAGAGAAAATTCGATGGAACTGGAGATGAACAGCATATCAGTACATCACAGTGTACATCGCAGTTATTACTCACATTAGGGTCACTGGATGATGATAAGATGGAATAAACTAGAGTATAGTCTGAATCACTTTCTGTGATATTAGTCAGTGATAACGTAGCTTATCATTTGGTTTGCAGGATAATGTGGAGTTGCGATACCACCAGTAGATCCTGGGGGAGGTCAGCGATTGACGAAGAATACCTGGATATAGCGTGATAGAGCGCTGTTTAAGAGCGAAGCGAGCGTAGTGATGCGAGTAAGAACGAGGGGGCGGTGTTTGTGTTGGGAGGGGTGGGGCCTCCAGGGAAAATAAGGGATTTACGTCATCCAGGAGTATCAAGTTAGTATTAAAGTGCTTGCCTAGGTATACTGGATACAATTACAGCACCACACACACACACACGACACACGAGCAACACACAACACACACACACAACACACACACACCACACACAACACACACAACACACACACACACACACACACCACACAGCACACACAGAAGGATCTTGCGCCATTTGATATCACAAAAGTTTCGTTCATTTTCTTCACGACTCCGGCGCTTTGTTTTAATAATGGCAGGCAGAGTGTACAGATTTTATATTTTGATGGCTCACTAATGACAACTGTATGGGTCACAAGCACAAGCGGACTGCGCCATTGGAATACCGGGGAGTTTCACCGGCGCGGCCGGTGCTGTGTTTTTGTTGGCCGGAGGACAAAAAAAAAGAAACAGGTTCAGGGGAGTGTGGTAGCGCGGTACCCGTAGGATAGAAGAAGGAGGAAGTGACGTGCTGACTCAGAGGTCGCGCGAGCTGTGGCGAAGAACGCTGGTTTGCCGCACATCTCGCCTTGACCTGAGTTTAGGCGTCAAGGTTAGCTAGGCAGGTTTATTGTTGTTGGGTGCAGTCACGTTTGGTGCTGACACTTGCGTGCTGCAGAATAAGTAGTGTGAAGAAAAAGGTAAATCTGTTTTACAGTTCTGTTTTATATGGTGTTGAAGAGAAGAAGAAGAATTGGGAGGGATGAAACCCTCGGGTTAATGTCACACACTGCAGAGCACACAGCACGACACGAGTGAGAGCGCGCGTTAACCATCGAGTACCAGAGGTTCTGAGTACTAAGGGCGTGCACTAGTTGGTACAGCGCCCAGCATATGGGGAGTGGCAGGGAAGGGGGAAGGATGTCCGGTGGCGCTGCTCAAGGCACCGACGGCGAGGCGAGGAGACGAACTGACGGCTCTGCGCAGAGTAGAAACTCCACACTCCAAGAGTGTAGGTGGCTGGTGGGGACTGTGAGACTGGCGGGACCCTACGGNTTTGTGCACAGATGGAAGGCTGACAGGCAGGTAGGCCATCCAGTTACTTTAGCCGGGCCGGCGCAGATGATTGGTCGTGCTTTTTACAGCGCCACGGCTTCCACAGATGAAATGTTTTTATGTATTTATTGTCAAAGCATTTAATGTATTCATTGCTATCGGGATGTTAAGAGCATTCCATGCAATATAACAACAAGTGTATCTGAAGTGATTTACCTACCCTATCTTTAAGTAGGACTTTTACTGACTGAGTATTTCACTTTTTCTTAAGTAAATTAGTACTTTTACCACTTGGATACTCGTTAGAATAGGTTAGTTAACTCTGTGAACACGTTTCAACTTTGAGGGTTTCATCCACCTTTATAAAAATATATTTCTGTATATATAAAATAAATATTTGTATGACTTTGCATCACATTTTGAGACATGCAATTAAAAGTAGTACATGCGTGGGTAGAGTAAGCAATCACAAAAGGGATTATTTTCTCAGATAATCTGTTGATTGTTTACTTTGTGTCAGCGGTTAAATGGCGACATTTCCTTCAGAATTACCCAGAGCCCAACGTGACACCTTCAGCTGTTGGTTTCGTCCAAAACTCAAACCCTCAATCATTACAAATGAAAAGCCCAATGTCTTCATATTTGTGAAGCTGGAATCAGGTTTTTACAAATACGATTAATTTCCCATCAATTTCCTGATTGCTCGATGGACAAACTGTTACTGCTGTACTCATTCATTTATAACAAAATCATGTTTCATAAGCTCATCAAATGCAAAAACTAATGTCTAATTATTATAATAAAAAGTTAAAATAATGTCATTTGAGAATTTGTGAAGTAAAAGAGTGGTGGCATCACATTAAATAGTACCTAAAATGTGAAAAGAAAGCACTTAAGAGTTTCACTTATGCACCAACACTTAGCAATGGTCTGGCATGTTTGAAGTAAATATGTCAGCGCTGATTAGTTTGTATCCTTATGGTTTATTGCACTTATTGTAAGTGGCTATAGATAAAAGCACCAGCTAAATGCTAAATGTAATGTAATGTGTACTTTGACACTGTACTTTAGTAAATGTATTTGGTTACATTTCACAACTGCAAAGGAGTATAGCGTATAAGAGTTAATATCAACTGTATATATAAAATGTACTGCAGGTTATGGTTTCCTGAGTGAACCTGAATATTCAGCAGCACAGAATGTGATCAATACGAGTGACAAAACGGACCGTACCATTGCAATGGCAGACGTAGGGGGGGAGCGTGTGTCCACTGCCTCCACGTCCAGGATGTACCAGTCCTGCTCCTCTCGGTCCAGCTGTGTTCGGCTCAGGATGGCTCCGCTGGCGTCCACAGAGAACAGGTCTGTGTGTGTCTGCAGTGAGTAAATCACGTCGTAAATGGGACTTCCTGAGGCGGCGGAGACCCTCCCCACCACCCCCCCCGCCGGCTGGTTCTCAGGGAGGCTGAAGTTGTAGGAGGAGCTGAGGAAGGCCACGCCCTCCGACAGGCTGGCGACCCTCAGGTTCACCACCACATCGGCTGCAAGAACACACAAATACAGAACTAAGTTAAAGTAACAATCAACTATCGGACAACAAGCTGCTACTTTCTCATGCAAGAAAATACGACAAAAATATTCGTTCAAATCCCAAAACAAAACACGAGCGGCTTGATTAGAATCAAACAGATTTTAGGTGAATCAATAAATCATTTTTTATTTAAATGTTTGACTGTCTTTGCTTTATTGTCAATAAAAGAAAAATTCTAAATAAAGTACTAAAAAAAGTACGACTTCTTTAGTAGCTGCATAATCAGTCATTCCTGTTAAATGAAACCTTTGTCCTGCTTATCATGTTTGTGTTTGTTATTAAGAACCTGACAGCTGTACATTGTTCATTACAGTCTAATACAGGGGTGTCAAACTCAATGTCATCGCGGGCCACATTCGCATTATGGTTGCACTCAAAGGGCCGGTTGTAACTTTAAGACTATATAATATATATATACATATATAAATATATACAAAATAATGTATTATATTACATGATTGCTTCTGCATTGGATTATTATCGGATAGAGGGTAAGAATAACTTCATAATTAACTATGTCTGAAAGCAGAAGTATAGGGCAAATAATTGCTATTCTCTTCAGTGAGAATGTCACAAAATGATTTAAAAAGAAAAGCCGAATTCAGAAAAAAATCAAGAAAAATAAGTGACATTTTGAGAAAAAAGTAAAATTCTAAGAAAAAAATCAAATTTGAGATGCATTGTGGGACATGTAGTCTATGGGCAACGTGCTTCTGTAAAGCGACATGTAACCATTTAATAAACATATAATATTAC